CCCCCCCCACACACACACACACAGTATAGCAACCTTAGAAGAAAAATCTTAGATGAGACCTTAGAGATCATTCAAGTGTAGTGAGCTCCCACTGTGTGCCAGACATGGGTTCTGACCCTGGGAATGAGGAGGTAAACAAGACCTGTCCCTGCTTTTCAGAAATCATAGCTCCCTTGTTTTGCAGACAAAAACCCAGAAGCTCATGGAAGTGAAATGACTTACCTCAAATCATTTATGTGGCAGAAGAGGAAGGCCAGAGCCACCTGTCTTGATATTAATGTAGTTCACTCTCATATAGTTGTGGACACAGGTTCAGTTCAGAAACTTACTGTAATCACACTGTTTCATTTGCTTCACCAGTGTATGCTTCTCAGGGTTAGATGCTGTGTCAAATGCTCTTTTTAAACTTCTTTTTAGCACAATATAATAAGTGGTTTCTGGCTGAAGTAAAGGGGTAAGTCCAGCAGAGTACCTCTTATACAGTATTCTTCAGAACAAACTTTATGGTTTGGATTAGTTCTGTTCCAATTCAGTGTCATACTATAAACTAGCTCAGAAGCAGTTTTGCCTCCTCAGTATACTCCTCCTGTAGCTGAACCTGTATCACAATCATTTTCCTCTTGTTACTTCACCCAGAGTCCTAAGGGCAGGCAGAGAAGTTGCCAGTTTTTCTGCTTCCCAGATCCCTGAGTCCTCTTAAGTTTTCCACCTCTGCCAAGGATGTGCATTTTTCTAAAGAGCTGGTCGCAAACTTGTATTGTCTCAACTGCCCTTCCAACAGCTTGTCCTGTTTGGCCTTAGGACTCCTCTGATGATGGCTTGCACGAGGAAGAATCTCAAGGTGATCCAGGACCTGGTGGAACATGGTGCAAACCCACTTCTGAAGAACAAAGATGGTTGGAACAGCTTCCACATTGCTAGCCGAGAAGGTGACCCTTCAGTCCTCCAGTACTTGCTCACTGTTTGCCCAGATGCCTGGAAGACAGAGAGCAAAATTAGCAGAACTCCTCTGCACACGGCAGGTATGGCCCAGAGCTCTGTGAAGATGCAAGCATGGCTATACAGCCTACTCCTCCCAACACTGCAGAATGTCATCGAGTTGGGGGGTTTTGAAAAATAGAGGTTAGGGAATAAGTGCAGTTTTGGGTATTTTGGCATACACTTAGTTTCTAAAGCTAATGCCACTTGGCACTTAACATGCTCTTCTTTCTTGCATTAGTTCACTTTTCATAAATATCAGTTGTACTCTCCCCAGCTAGTTAGATGGCAAGCTGGTTCTGTTCCTCACTAAGTCTTGGATCTTGGGCAAGGAGCTTAGTCTCTTGAGCAAATTTCCTCAACAGCAAGATAATGATGATAATGATGTTCATATCACAAGGTTGTTATAGGATTTAAGAAGCCCAGTGTATTTAAACCCCATAGCACAGTGCTTGACACGTGAGCATGGAACTACCTGCTGCTATTTTTATGATTATTTTTATATTGTTTTTATTATTAAAGGCAGGAGGAAAAGAGGTTTTTAAAATATGACTCAGCAATACCTACCACAGCGATATCTATTTAAATAAATATAGGTGCTTATAATTAAATACCTGAGTGTATTTGACTTATCTAATGATAATGTCAAATATAAATTTGGGGTACAGCTTTTATTTTGAGTAATTATTTTAAATTTTGAATTATCTGTAGATTATTTATTTAATATATCTTTATTGATTTCAGAGAGAGGAAGGGAAGTAACAAGCAAAAGTTCTATGGCATAAGGTGAAATGGATATTAATGAGCTCTAGAGTCCAGATCAAGAAAATTAGAAAGTAATCTTTAGCCTTCCAGAGAGTTCATTGAATTAGAACACAGGGCTTTTAATTTCTCTAAAAATCAATACCTGTGACATAATATAGCTTAGAAAATATGCATATAATTTTTCTAGCCACAGTGGGCAGGTAAGGACCAAGGAGTTCTTTTGCAAGTGTGTAGGAAACGTTTCTCTGCTCACAGATTGTTTGACTGGCTCCTCTACTCTCCCAGTCATTTATGCAAAGTGGTGGTACACAGATTGTCAAAAAGCTTTATTATTGACTATAGTTATTTTCAGTAGGAGAAACAAATTACTGGGTTTTTTGTCACGGATTACTCTTAAAATGTTTTACATTTTCTGGGCAAAAACTGACTGGCCCAACACAAAAGTGAGGAGATAGTTTAGGGTTGAAAATTTGCCATAAAAGCTCTCATAAAGATAAGATAATCAGTTTTGGCTATGGACTTGTTCAGTAAAAATGTCATTCTTTAGCAATTATCCAACTAAATTTTTATTGTACCTAATTTAATTACTCCTTCCTGTAAGTCATAGCTGAAAAGATGGGACAGAGACCGGTGCCAGGAGGAAAGAAGTGTTTTATATGTGCACCTAAAAGCTCTAATTCTCAACTCTCTTCTCCTAGCAATGCATGGCTGTTTAGAGGCAGTAAAGGTGCTTCTTCAGAGGTAAGAACAAAACAGCAAATTGTGGAAGATATTTGCTAATTATGACAGTTAATGTTAATGCTACATAAAGAGCTCAAACAAATTGTTCAGAGAGCAACTAAGGTACCAAAAGAGAAATAAACAAAGGACATAAGCAGATAACTCAGAAAACATAAAACAAAAATAGCTTACAAACATGAGAGAAAATCATTCATCTGTTCATTCAGCAAATATCATCTATTTATTCAGTGCCTATTATGAATTGTACCTGATGCAAGGGGCTACAATAGAAACGAGACAGTGTGGTTTCCCTCTCATGGAACTCACAGACACTGCACAAGTAGTGCGAATCTGGTGTCCGTTACAAGGAATTGCAAGATCCCTACAGGAGCATGTGCCTGGAAGACCCACCTTGACCTAGGAGTAAGGAACCTCAGCCCTAGTGATATTTAAACTGTTACCTGAAGGAGGCTGAGAGTGGGAGACGGAGGCATTCCCTACAGAGGAAGCAGTACTCAGGAATGCTCAGCCTGGGAAAAGCATAGTGCATGTAAGAAACTGAAAGAAACCCGGTATGTGCTGAAGCCTATAATGAGGGGAGAATGGTGCTGGGTGAGGCTGGGAGAGGGAGGCCAGGTTTTGATCAGGTGGGACATTGTAGACCATCGGAAGGATTTTAAGTTGGAAGCATATAAGATGCCACTGAAGGGTTTTAAGCAGGGGGGTGGAATAAAAATTTTGCGTTTTTCAACGATCCTCAGGTGCAGATTAGCGAATGGATTGGAGAGGAGCAAGGGTGGGTGCTATGAAGGCTGTTGGGAGACTATTGTACTTAAACAGGAGAGAAACCATGGTAGCCGGACCAAGAAGCTGACTGTAGGGATAAAGAAAAAGAGATGGAGCTACTTAAGTAGAATCAATAGATCTAGGTGAATAATTCAATAAAGGGAGTGAGGGAGAAGGAAAAGTCAGGGACTGTCAGGTTTCTCACTTAAGCAACTGGTGGTGGTACTGGTGCCATTCGCTGAGGTAGAGAACAGTGGCAGAGGAGCAGGTTTTATGAGAAAAGAAGACAGTTTCAGTTTGGGACACATTGAGTTGCATGTACCTGTGAGATATCCAAACAAAGATATCAAGGGGGCAGTTAGAGACACGGATATAAAGCCCAACGGACAGGTATGGGCTGAGATACAAATGGCCTCATCAGCATAGAAATGATGATTGAATGTATGAGTGGAAGAGATTACCTGAGGAGACAATGCATAGTAAGAGGAGAGGAAGACTTAATGCAGTGCCTTGAAAGCATTGCTTATGTCTAGGGCTTGCCTGCTGCAAATTGGAACATACTTAGTTGTCTGCAAATTTCTAAATATTCATTCATTGAACAAACTTTAAAAAAAAAAAATATATATATATATATATATATTTATTGATTTCAGAGAGAGGAAGGGAGAGGAAGAGAGAGAGATAGAAACATCAATGATGAGAGAGTCATCGATTGGCTGCCTCCCACATGCCCCCAACTGGGGATCGAGCCCACAACCTGGGCATGTGCCCTGATTAGGAATCAAACTGCAATCTCCTAGATCATAGGTAGATGCTCAACTGCTGAGCCATGCCCAGCCAGGCGAATAAACATTTTTTAAGCACCTTTTATGTGTTAGGTGCTGGGTGGTAAGCAAAACAAACACAGTCCTTTCCCTAACAGCCTGTAGGCTAGTGTGGAAGCCAAGTATAGACAATCATAGAAATAAATACCATAAAATTGCAAATTGTAATACAGATATCCCTGCTTTCTTTTCTTTTTTTTTTTCTTTTTTTTAAATATATCTTTATTGATTTCAGAGAGAGGAAAGGAAAGGGAGAGAGAGATAGAAACATCAATGATGAGAGAGTCATTGATCAGCTGCAAGCCCTCAACCCGGGCATGTGCCCTGACCGAGAATCGAACCCTGATTGCCTGGATCCTAGGTCGACGCTCAACCGCTGAGCCACACCCTGCTGGGCCCCTGCTTTCTGAAAGTTCCCATTATCCCACTTTGCCTCTACATAAGACCTATATTAGTGGCTTTTTTCACTAACCAAAAGAAATCTGAAAAGCTCTTACTATAGTAATGTAGGTCTTTCATAAAAGTGAAGTGGCATAGGTAACACAAACTCAGGAAGCCAGAGATACTCATGGCTTTACACCATTTTGGCTAATAAAAGATTCCATAGGAATGATCTATTTTCAGATAGCCGGGAAACCTGTAATACTAAAAGAAAAAGTATACAATGGCATGTGGAAGCAAAGGTACTATTGATGCAGGAGAGGAGACAGGACTCTGTGAAGTCACATTGAAGCTGTGATTTGAAGGATGAGTTTGGAGTTTTCCAAGTGAAGAATGGACAAATGTTCTAAGCAGAGGGAATAAGCAAGTGCAAAGACAGCAAAGAGCTGGGCAAATGAAAGAGCAGGGAAAAGGGCAGGACCATGAAAAGGTAGGACAGGAGGGAGGGAGGACAGAGAAGAAAGATAAGTAGGATCATGAAGAAGGTAGGAACAGAAGATGATTGGACTGGTGGATGGTGAGACAGAAGATAGGACAATGAAGTTGAGGGTAGGAATGGAAAAAGGGGAGGTGGGATGGAGAAGAAGAAAAGATGAGAAGAAGGCAGGACCAGGAAGACAGTGGGGCAGGTAGGATAGTGAGGAAGGTAGGAACGGAAGAAGGTTAGGACTGAGAAGAAGATAGGGTAGGTGGGAGGTGGGATTAAGAAGATGATAGGACAGGTAGTACCAGGAAATAAGCAGAACTTAGAAGAAAGGACAGCCATGAAGAAGGTAGGTTGTGGTAAGCACAGAGAGGTGGGTATGTAGGCGAGAGAAACTTGGAGAGGTAAGTTTGTGCCACACTATCTTGACCACTAGAGGTCATGCTGAGGTTCCAGATTTTGTGCTTTGTTTTTGGGAAGTACATAGTTAAAGGTTTTTAACAGGAGCAGCCATACCCAATTTGCATGGTGAAAAGATTATTCTGGTAGCTGTGAGAATGGATTAGAAAGGCAGAAGCCAAGGTTAAGAGGCTATTGTCTATTGACTCAGTCCTAAGGGATGAAAGCAGAGATAGAGAGAAAGATAAAAATTTTTGAATGCAGAATTGAGAGGTTTTGATAATAGATCAGTTATGAAGACTAAGGGGTGACTTCAGAGCTCTGGCATGAGAAGTTGGAGAGATGACAGTCCATAGTATGGAATGACAAAAGTTAGAGGAGAAGCAGATTTGCTGGGGGAAATTGACATACTGTTGAAGAGCTAAGTTCTGATATTGAGATGGGGAAAAGAGGGAGAGTGCTGTAGATTTTCACAGATCATTTGTAGGCCATGTCATCTGCAGGTGGTCAGGAGTCAACTGTCCATTAGGTTTGAAGCAATGGCTTTTCTCAGCTCTTATTTTGGGTTTGGGCTCTAGGTGTCAATATGAACCCGACTGCAGAGACAAGTGTGGCCTCACACCCTTTATGGATGCGATTCAGTGTGGGCACATCAGCATAGCCAGGCTACTCCTTGAAAAACATAAGGTACAGCAATGGTTTGGGTTTTCCTATGAGTTTTAGGTCATAGGATAAACAGAGATCATGATTATTCAGATCCTGGGTTCAAATTCCAGCACTGCCACGGTCCCCCTTTGGTACCCCTTGACCTCTTTAAGCATCAGTATTTCCATCAGTAAAATGACGACAAATTTAAATTCTTCAGAGGGTTACTCTAAGGATTAAAAAATGTACATAAAGCAGTTAGCAAAGTAATATTTCTTTTTTTATTATTATTGACTTTAGCAAGAGAGAGGAAGAAAGAGAAACATTGATTTCTTTCGCTTACTTATGCATTCATTAGTTGATTTTTGTATGTGCTTTTACTGGGAATCAGACCCACACCCTTGGAGTATCAGGTTGATGCTCTAACCAACTGAGCTACCCTATCCGGCTGTGGCAGCAAAGTAACATTTCAATAAACAGTAGCTGTTTTATAGTAATAACAAACTTCTCACTGAGTGCACTTTTGGTACACTTGAGAACATTGAATCTTAACTTTTTTTTTTTTTTTCAATTTACAGAGTCCTTTAAGAATCTGACAAAAGCTATATAACATAGGCCCAGAAAAATGTCAGACAACAAAGTTTAGCTAAAATGTTAGAAGGTCCATGGACCCAGGTTTCCTGCTTATTTTTGTTCCTGTCTCTCCCCAATCTACTAGGCTTGCATTTCTGCTGAGGATTCCCTGGGGGCCCAAGCTATACACAGGGCAGCAGTCACTGGTCAGAATGAAGCCATCCGATTCTTGGTCTCTCAACTTGACGTTGATGTAGACATGAGAGCAACATCAACCCACCTCACAGCACTTCATTATGCAGCTAAGGTTTGTTTCTTTTCATAAGGGTGTTTCTGCTTTCTTAGGCTTGCTGTACTCCACTGATGAATAGCTCCACAGTCCTACTTCTTTGGCTCCATCTCTGTGGAGGAAAGAAATTGCTCATGATATGCTTCTAAAATGTTCATGGTTCTGAAGCCTGTGTTGCTTTAAATAGAAACTTGCCTTTATTTATTGCTAGGTAAGAACTGGAAACACCCTTTATTCCATATAATGCCTGGTCTTTATGTTTCCTCCTGCCCTTTTTTTGTCTTCAAGAATGGTGTTATTTGAAGCCATAAAAATCCATTGTATTAAATTCCTAGTTCTCTATCCTTATGGTAGATTTCAGAAGTTAAAATTTCTTTAACTGAGGCAAGGGAATTGCACTTTCTGGCCTCTCCAATGTATAAAATATTTATGACATGCAAAAAGTATTCACTACAGAAGTAGCTGCTTATATCTTCCTGTTTTAAATGCTAGGAGTCTTTTGCTTTTTAACTTTAACATGATTGGCTACTTGCCTTTACTTGTTTTTCTAGCAACAAGAATGTTTTCTAATAACTACACTCTTTCCTATGTTCCCCTATGAGAAAGTGGGTAGATAAATAAGTGGGCTAAGAGAAGGATCTGTGGCCACAGCAGGAGAAAAGCTGGTGGGTCTACCCTAGGAAGACTGAACCTACAACCTTGATTTTAGTCTCACCACATACTAATGGACTAATTGGCTAAACAGTGTATAAATTGCCTCATGAGTGATAATGCCGGCCAGCTATGATGAGAGTCCTAGCTAGGAGAGGTTGGTCATCTTTTCTAGTTTATCTCTGCCTTAAAGATTTTAGCAAGGAGTGTGTATGCTTGGGAGAATTTGGAATTTTGTTTCTGTGTAAATCACAACATTTATACCCATTACACTGAAAGAAATCCAACTGTATTAGTCGATAATTTGGCCTCCAAAGTTGACCATCTATATTCTCATAACTGAATATCACCAAAACCTATCTTTAATGATTTATTCTGGAGTTTGAGAGTGATGTAATGACTTTTCCTTTAGATATGAAAATATAGTTTTAGCAATTAAGTATTTTAGGAAATGACCTAATATATACATTAGTGTTTATGTTTAAAGGTCCTTGTCACAATGATAATGAGTTTATTTCAACTCTCAGGAAGGACATGTGAGCACAGTTCAGACGCTCATATCCTTGGGTGCTGACATCAACTCCAAGGATGAAAGAAATCGATCAGGTATGACTTCTTTGTGCCTTAGAAATTATTAATTGGGGTGTGAAGGGGGTCTTAATGTATGGTGACGGGAGAAGATATGACTTTGGGTGGTGGGCACACAGAACAATATACAGATCTTGTAACACAGGAACCCACACCTGAAACCTATATGTTCATTTTGACAATTGTCACCCCAATAAGTTTAATAAAAATGGAAAAAAAGAAATTAACAGAATGTAAACAATACATGGACTTTTAAAAACATTGGTTTTAATATTCTTCTAGCTCATCAACTTTTCCTTAAAATAACATCTCCAAATAGAACTATTGCTATTACCATGGCAATGATTATGACTACTACTCATTACTACTTCTGTTATTATTATTTTTATTATTTTAAACTGCAACAATATAAGTGACATAAAAGTACTTTCTGTCTTCATCCATGATGCCACCAGCTATTCAGGTAGTCTATAGATTCTTCATAGGTCATCTCTCTTTGAAGTGTATTTAAAAACTATAATCATTATAATTTTCTCAATTTAGGGCTCAGAAGGATATTTTCAGAGTTAATTCTTTAAACTCAGACTTTAGAATAAACCTCAGTGACATTCTCTGCATCAGTGGCCATCCTTCAGGAGTTTAGTGGGAGCTTCATGATGCTTCATAGATAACTAAATACTCACTTTCAGACCACAGAGGATGGTCACTAAGTCCAGGGATATAGACTTTCTCCTAAAGATGGGAGCAGAAGCCAGAGATTTTTCAGCACTAATTTCTAACCAGAACAGGAAGATTTGTCAGCCATTTTTCTTTTTGTCACATCATTTTTATTCATGGTGATATTTTTACTTACACGGAGATTTCACAAAACTTTGAAAATGTTTTTTATAACATTTAAAGTCTCCTATTCCTCATAAACTGACTTTGTTGCTTTAGACAAGTCTCTTGAATCCTCTTCAGTTGGTCATGTTATTTTTAAGCCATTTCTAGCCCAATTAGCTTAAAAGGAAAAATGTTTTAATCTAGTATAGGCAAAGTCATACAGATGGATTATGGAAATATAAAATCTGTACAATTGAAAGAATCAGTATTTTTGTTAGGAGCAGACTACTGGTCTGGTCAGTATTGCTTTGTGGGTCATGCACTAAGTTTGTGTGACTTCTGTCTCTGCTCAGCCCTGCACCTGGCCTGCGCGGGTCAGCATGTGGCCTGCGTCGAGTTTCTTCTGCGGTCTGGGCTGAGGGACTCTCCAGACGTCACGGGCACCCTGGCTCAGCAGCTCACACAGAGTGCAGACATCCTTCAATACTTCAGCCACAGTGTGATGGCATGAGGATGTTTCTAAAGAAAGGCAGTAAAACTCATGGTAACTTATATGTTACTGCTAAGTCATTACCAGATTCAGTGAAGTCTGCGGATAGCCGGTGTTCTCTGCCCTCCCTCCCCTGCACTCCCCACTGCAGCTGAGATTCCCAGAGGATGTGGACGCTGGCTTCCTAAATGGAGGACGGGCAGACTCAAAATCTCTCCTTACCTGCATTTCATGTTATGGCCTTCAGGTGGACTTAGATGATGTTTGTGAAGTCAGTGTCTGAGCTCCTTAGAGAAGCATGTAACGTGCATAAATATAATATAGTATACATGTATGTGTACATATATGTGAAACGTTTTATAGTAAATATCATATGGTAAGGCAATAATAATATTAAAAATATAACATATTGCTATTAGCTTGAGCCATAAATAATTGGCCTGTTTACTTTCTTTCATAGGCATTTTCTTGGTTGTTACAATGGTTTAATTTGGTTTTGTAGCCAGAATTGCTTACAGTCTGTTTTATTTACACAAACATTTGCAAGAAATTAATGAAAACTTCTGTATCTATTTTCTAAGCACTGCTAGGTAAGCTGTTTTATGGTTTGTTTTTTTAGACAAGTTCTGTATTGACTGCCTTCGAGTAATAAATACACCTAAATACACCTAAAAAATGCATCTAAGATATTTTCAAAACTTTTCTGTTACCTCAGTTAAGGAATAGGGTTTCTTGTTAAAGCCCACAGGTCACGTTTCCTGTCACATGCCATCTGCCACCGAAACCTATGATTGTGAAGGAATGAATACTTGATGTTGTACCTTTTAAGAAATTTGTAGCAATTTAAACATTGAAGATAGGATGGGTCCTTGGGCATTTGGATTCTTTTCCCTTTTTTTAATCATTTTCTCTAGTTAGTAATTAGTCCAAGTCAATCTGTTGAAAGATCAAATGTGTCCATCACAAGCAAGAACTAACTTCCCTGTTCAGTGTAACCCCATGAGAGCTTGTCACACACCCAGCTGTTCCCAGCAGTAAGCTGGGCTGGGTGAACAGCGAGGAATTCCAGTTCTTTATTATTCCCAGCTGGCTGAGTCCTATCCCCAACAACCAGATAAACATCTGGTAGTAACACAACTTGATTATATAATCTGTCTTGTGATCTCTACATCACACACTGCATCTGCACTGCTTCAAGCTACAGTTGCATTTCCTGTGGCTTCAGAGACATCTGTGTCTTTGCCCTTTGGGTCTGAAGACAGCCCTGTTATGTGCAGGTGGGATGGAAGATCAGTCTGATGCTGGCCACCTCCTCCCCTCTGCATACATGTGAAGCACCTTTTTATTTGCAGGGACTGCATGTGAGACCCCTTTGCACCTGTGGCTTTGCTTCTGCTATACCCACTTGTACTAGCAGCAATGAGGGAATATCTCATTACACATTTGTTCCCAGGAGTTCCAGAGATTGCAGTAATGATAACGTCAGTTGTGGCAAAGACCTGCTCTGGTCTTGTTCTCTTCAAACCCATCCTCCACACAGCCCTGAGCTCCCACTCACATGACCAAGGGCATTGACTGTTGCCGGTGGCTTACCGAGTCTTCCCTCCAGAGAACACACCTGCATGCTCACCAGGGTTCAGTCCCTTAACCAAGAGTTGCTTCCTCAAAGTTTTTGACTGGTCCTGCAGGAGCGCTTGGTCAATTGTGACTGTCCCTGAGATTGATCAGGCAGAAGCCCTGGGAAGAGATACAAATTGGTAAGAATTATAAACATTTGAAAATAGCCAGGACCTCACATATTAATTACCAAAAAAATTATGTAAGAAAGTATTTACAAGACAAAAATAGAAAAGAGATTACAAAATGGATAAGAAATTACAAAACTCAGACCAAAAAAAACCCAAAACTCTTTGTGAAGGGAGCTCAGGTAATGCGATAGGGAGGGTCAGGCACTTAACCATGTTGTTGCTAGAATTCACCAGCAGGTGGCAGGCCAGAGAACGGTCCTTTTTTAATCTCCCAGTTTTTTGTTAACACAATTACAGATGTCCCTCATTCCCCCTATTTGCCCCCCCTCGCCCCCCTCCCAGATTTCTTTTAAGGCTCATTGTAAAATATAGAACAAATAAAGGAGAAAACAAAAATAACTTATAATTCCACTGAGGAGTCACTACTACTTTTTTCCTCTTAGTCTTTTAAATGCATATAGTTGAAATGATGCTATATATGCAAGTTTTTTTCTAACATTATATTGCAAGCATATTTTAATGCTCTTCAAAACTTGTGAACTTTTAATTTAATCTCTTCTTAGTACTCCATCATATTGTTGTCCATTTATTCTTTCATGTTGTCATTTTTGTTTTTGGTAAGTAAGCATGTAGGGAGCGAGGACTAAAGGAAGGCTATTGGATCCTGTTCCCGGAAGGTCGAGGCTGAGCAACGGGTTGGGGATATGGAGGGGCCTGAGCAGGCCTGTGTTCTTTGGATGCGCTGAGCGGTGAAGAAAAAGAAATACATAAGGTAGTTTGACAGTATAGGTTTTTGTAGAACAGGTGAGACATGGAGAAGAATTCAGTGGTGGGAGGAAACTGAAGCAGTGAGAGAGCAAAGGCTCTTTGACAGAGCAGGTCCTACAGACAGTTGGGGGAGGCTAAGCTCCAGGTACGGAAGGAACATTTTGAAGGGAAGAGAGGCTAATGATATGAGGACGTTTAAGGTGGAAGCCACCCCTATGCTTCATTTAACATCAGTATTTGGAGGGTGTGGGACTTATGGAATATGTGTGTTACAGTTTCTACAGTAATGAATAACAATGATATATATATTTGATAGTTTTTAGGTTTCTTAAAATTGCTTTCCTGAGCCAGTTTCCTGAGTGCTGTGATTTTTTTATTACAAAAAAACAAGGTAGAAGTGAGGACTGGCCTCTGGCCTTAGCTAAACAGGAAGGATTTGCCTGGTGCGTGTGACAAAGGCCTATCATAAAGCGTTTACAACAATCCACTGTATAATGTGGACAGGCCTAGGCATTCCCAAGAAAAACACTGGGGAATAATTACGTTATCAGCCACCCAGGCTCTACCACTGTGCCTTATCTGACCTGAGTGCAGGCATTTCAGCCAACCTCCTGTTCAGCTAATCTCTTGTTGCCTCTTCCCAGGCTGCAAAGGCCCAGTGCGTACTCAAAGCCTAGAGGCATACCCAGGGCACTTGAAACAAAGAAACAAAGGTTGCAGTGCTAATTGACCCTTGTGCGGGATTTAGTGCTCCAGAGACCTTCACAGAGTGGAGGAGAGGCAGCAGAGCTTAGTTATCAGTGTGGACTATAGACTAGCAGAGTCTGCCAGCAGGAGCACGGGTGGGTTCCTCTTCAAACTGAAGCCATTAGCAGAATCCAGTTCACATCCAGAAATCTCCCTCTAAGAGAGCCTGGGAAATGTAGTTTATAACTTCAAGGCTTTTGCAACGTAAGAAATCACATAAAAGGAGGTTGGAATGGATCTTTAGTGCCATGCCCACCCACCAGACTTGGTATCGCCAAAATACCTCCACAGTCTACTATGTATGAAAGTGCTGATTCCTCCACGCCTTCACCAAAGCTGTGCATTACCACTCTTCATTTTTACTGACTTGATATAGTGTCTCATTGATTTAGTTTTATATTTCTTTAATTATGAATCAGATTGAAAATCTTTAGATTTGTTTGTTGGCCATTTTTATTTCTTTTTCAGCATTGTAGAAATAATCTATATATCTCCTTTTTTTGTATCTGTAAGAGTTAGCTACTGCTTAAAAGCAAACTACCCCCAAAACTCAGTGGCTTAACGCAACAACTGTTAATTATTTCTCAGAGTCTACAGACCAACAGAGTGGTTTTGCTGATCCTAGCTGAGCTCAGCCAGTAGCTGGGCTCACTCACGCGTCTGCAGTCAGCTGGTGGGTCACTCAAGCTGGCTGGCTTAGGATGGAGTTGGCTGTGCCTCCTGTGGTCTTCTTCTGTCAGGCTGGCCCAGGCTTATTTTCATGACCATGGCAGGGGAAAGAGAAATAGTCAGGTGCTTTTCTGCTTTCTGCTCTGTTTGTGTAGATACTCCGATCCCATTGGACAAAGCCCAGTGTCAGTGTGGCAGGGCACCACCTAGTCCCTGGATACAGAGAAGCCATAGGTTGGGACCATTTATGAAATCCATCTCTTGCATTATCTTTTGACTGGTGTTTTGTTTGTCTTGTTGATTTGTAAAAGTCCTTTTTATATTGAGTTATTTATCTCTATACAAAATTCAGATAGTAACTATAAAATTGTTGGTATACATTTATAGGTGAAAAAAACACACCAGACTACAACATTGCAGAAATAACCTATAGATCTCCTTTTTTTTTTTTTTAAAGCCTCTTGAATAGATATGGACATTACAAGAAGCTAATAACTAAAATGCTGGGTGTAGGAAGACACAGGCAACATGGATGGGGTAGGGTATTTCTATTTTGATTATAGTCTGTGATAACTTTCAAGCAGCTCTCAAGAGTTTTAGAAATTTCATCTGGGCCAGCCTGTAATATGCCTTGTTTTCCCCATTTTGCTGAAATTCCACAACTAAGATTCACGTATATGTAAAAGACCCAGGAAGAAAACCCACCTTGCAAATGATCCTGGCCCTAGGAACATTGCTCTAGGTCTCTCACATCCTTCCTACGCTTAACTAACCCAGTTTTATCATTTAATGTTAGACAAACAAAAATTGCTCAGTAAGAGAGTTCTGCAAGTAAAGAAAGACTTTCACTCCAAAAAATAATTATCCCTTTCCTGAGCTTCCATAGCACTCGATTCATACTTCCTTGGTAACCTGCATTAGTTAGGATATAAATTCTGCTCCTGTAACTGAAACCTAAAATAACAGTGGCATAAACACGAGTTTATTTCTCTCCCACATAAGAGCCTGGGCAAAACCAGCCTAGTGTGCCTGGCTGGCGTGGCTCAGTGGTTGAGCATCGACCTATGATCCAGGAGATCACAGTTTGATTCCCGGTCAGAGCACATGCTCAGGTTACGTGGGGGTGTGCCAGAGGCAGCCGATAAATGACTCTCTCATCATTGATGTTTCTATCTCTCCCTCTCCCTTCCTCTCTCTGAAATCAATAAAAATATATTTAAAAAAACAAACCAAAAAAACAATCTGTTATGAGTTAGGTCAATGGACCAGCCTCCTGGTGGGACCAGACTCCTGTTGGTCCTGCCATCCTGAGTACAGGGCCCTCTTCTCTGGGGCCCAGGATTGTTCATCAGTCAGTGAAGGGGACGAGGGTGGGAGCACATTCCTCACCCATTTTTTTAAGAAGGTGAGTGTATCATTTCCATTCAAGTCCCTTTGGCCACAGCTTAGTCACACAATCCTAGAAGAGAAGTAAAGTTGGGATGCAGTTAGGTCTCTGCCACATATCCTTAGCAGAGACACACTCACTCCTTAATCTCAGGCTTTAAAGTTCTAGGGATCAGAGAATAGCCTGCTTATTAAGACTTTGAAGTTGTGAGGGACACGAGGCCATCTGTGAAGATGGTGTCAAGGTGAGAACAGTCTGCATCCCCATAGAGCCGAATGTGGGTCTCTGTGCTACTGCTACCAGCCCTGTGACCTTATGCAACTTCAGCTCTCTGCTGTTGGGTTCCTGTAACAGGAGCAACGATGGCACTTCCTTCCTGTGCTTATTGTGAGGAGGAGATTGGCTAGTGCTTGTGATGCCTGGCACCAGTGAATGTTAGCCATTGTGTCATTAATAACAATAACACCAGCACAGTCTCCTATTCATAGGTGATTGAGAGGAAGGGCTGACACCAGAGTAGTTATGGAGGCACCATTTGTATTTCTCCTTCCTTCCTTGGGTGCCTCCATTTTATTTATAAAAAACAAACACTTGGTCTCTATCTTTCTCCATGCCAAGGTGTTAATGAATTAAAAATACAAATTTTATCAACCCTTGAGGTCAGGCTATTAATCCAAATAAACGAAGCTCTTAAGATGTAAAGAAAGATTAAAAATAAAGGTTTTTTAAAATTGATTTTATTTTTTATTTATATTGTTTAAAGTATTACAGATGTCTCCTTTTTTCCACACAATGACTCCCTCCACCCCTTTCTTGCCTCCTCCCCAGGCCTTCCTTATACTATTGTCTGTCCATGCGCTATGCATATATGCTTATAAATTTATTGGTTAATCTCTTCCCCACCCCTTTCCCTCTGAAACACTTCAATTTGTTGCATGCTTTAATGTCTCTGGATCTTTTCTGTTTGTCAGTTTATTTTGTTCACTAGATTCCACATATAAGTGAGATCATGTGATACTTGTCTTTCTCTGACTGGCTTATTTCACTTAGCATAATACTCTCCAGGTCCCTCCATGCTATCTCAAAGGGTAGGATGTCTTTTTTACAGCTGCATAGTATTCCATTGTGTAACTCTACCACAGGTTTTTAATCTATTCATCTACTGATGGGCACTTGGACTGTTTCCAGATTTTAACTATTGTATATAATGCTGCTATGAACATAGGGGTGCATATATTCTTTCTGATTGGTGTTTCTGGCTTCTTAGGATATATTCCTAGAAGTGAGGTCACTGGGTCAAATGGCATTAAAAATACAAATTTTACCAATCCTTGAGATCAGGTTATTAAACCAAATAAATGAAGCTCTGAAGATACAAAGAAAAATTAAAAATGTAAAGAAAGATTTTTTAAAAATTGATTTCAGGGAGAGAAAGAAACATCAATTTTTTGTTCCACGTATTTATGCATTCACTGGTTGCTTCTTGTATGTGCCCTGACTGGGGATCGAACCTGCAACCTTGGCATATTGGGACAATGCTGTAAACAGCTGAGCTACCTGGCAGGGCTGTAAAGAAAGATTTTTTAAAATATTTCTTTCTGGGCCTTCGTTCAAACCTTTGTAATTGAGAACTTCTCTGTCCCGTCCATGAATGTTTTGTTAATTTTATATTTCCTTTCAGCATCTGAAATAGGTCCACTTTCCTCCACGTCCACTGCTACTACACAAGTTCCAGCCAGTGTCCTCTTGTTCCAGGTGCTGTGACAGCATGACATCTGACCCCAGAATTTAAGAGGGTGAAACAGCCATTCATCATGCTCATGGATTCTGTGGGTCAGGAATTGAGATCAGGCATGACAGGGGTGACTCATATCTGCTCCACAGTGACTGGGGTCTCAGTTGTGTCTGGCTGTCCATGCTGCTCTTGTTTAGAGCCTGAGTTTTCCCCATGGGCTCCTCCCAGGGGGTCTCTCATACAAGCTGGTGTGAACTTCACAGGGTGGAGGCTGGTTCCCAGGGTAAGCATATGGAGGGTTGCAGTGCAGGAGGAAGTTGGTCACCTTTCTTACCTAGCTGAGAGATGAGAACTTTCACTTCCCCACATCCCATTTGCCAAGGCTGGCCAACAATATTAAACCCAGCAATCTGGCTTTAAGGGGAAGGAAACAGACTCCGCCTCATCACAGGGAGTGGCAAAGTTCTGGGACAGCAGGTGGGACCAGAAATACTGTGTGAATGCTTTTCAAACCT